ATATATATATATATACTAATATTATAAGTAAAGATTAAAAAAAATAGATTTTGAGTTTGCTCAAATATGTTCAAGTCTTGACGTCTATTTTTCTACTTTTCCTTTTTTTTCTTAAACAGTATATCTATATAGCATACTTCATTCCAATAATATTTCAGTCACATTGCAACATTTTAATAATATTGCAAATATTGTAGCAACATTGAAAGCTCCTGTACTATACAAGTACATTTTCAGAAAACATAATCAATTTTTTTTATTATATTTGAGATAAGTACATGAAACGTTTAAACTTTGAACAGCATAAGCTATCGTTATAAAATAGTGTACATACAATGTATTATTACATGTACTTATAACATTAAGATTTCCGCTCTCTTCCTCGGTGCGTTGACAATTTAAACATATGTGTAAACTTCAACATGTGCTATTTCAACGCGTTTCCTGTGACGTGCGACAAACAATAATCTTCTGTCGTTTAAATCTAAAATCGATAAAGATTTATCACGCGTTCGAAGGAAATCGCCTTAAAGTTTTAATTTATTTGTCACGCAAGAATAAAAGTACACATATTTCAAAATCCATTTTTTTCAATTTTACATCTCATTCATATATTATATATTATTTTTATTTTTGTTGAGGTAAATATTAAAATTCGTACGACATATAGACGCCTTCCAGAAATTTTAATCCGAGTCTACTCTAAATCTCTCGGAGTGGCCGGAGTGCGTACATATAAATTCGCCAAATTGGAGCAGATTTATGCTACACCCGTTCGTGTAAATAACGATCGCGGTATTTCGAAAGACGGAGAGCAATATTGCGGGACGCGATTTGGTAGAAAAAGGGAGACGAGGACGCGGCGACGAGGTCGAACGTGGCCGCGCTCGCGTGCGACGCTCTTCCTGTGACGCTCTACCTGTCTCTGGTCTCGGGGGCTTAATTGCCGGTACACGGGGGACCGGGACGATCGGTACGTCACTACATATATTGTGCTCCAGCCTCCGCACGCCGCGGCGCCGCCGACCCGGCCGGCCTGACCGTCAGTGTTAGTCGTGTTTCAGTGATAGTCAGTCGTGTTTCGTACGCTTGACGTGACGGACGTGAAAGGTAGTCGAATACGTCGAGTGGCCCGAGGCCCAGACGAGCGCACGTGGAGGCACTGGAAGTTGCGGTAGCGAGCTACCGTCCGTTCGCTCGTCGCAGGGAAAGAGGGCAGGAAGGAAAACGGGAAACGGCGACGGCGACGGCGACGCGACGAACGGCGCGATGGCTACTCTAAGGCAGACCCCGCTGACGTGCAGCGGACACACGAGACCCGTGGTCCACCTCGCCTTCTCCGACGTCACTGAATCCGGGTACTATCTCATCTCGGCGTGCAAAGGTAACGGGCGGGACATTGTTCTGCTTTGTTCTACGAACAGAGCGAGGCCTGGCTAGATCGGCTGACTGTCGTCGCGTTGCTCCGATTTTTTCTTTCTCTCTGTCCTCTTGGATCTTGATCGTTCAAACCGCACGTTCGATTCTCGATCGCCTTGGCCCGATTCTTTCCGGTCGCTCCCAAGGCTCCGTGTCTTTTCGAGGTTAGACGAGCGTGTTCTTGACGGGCGCGTTATCTTTTCCTGCCTGTTTGCGAAGGCAGCTCGATATTTCGAAGAATTGAACAGGATTAACGGGGTTCTATGTGATACTTTAATCATGGATTAATTTATTGTCTATTTTTTTTCTAACTCTTAGGTTTAGAATAAGATAAAACGTAAGTTTAATCGAGATTAAAGTAAATCTTTGTTGGTAGAAATAAAAATGTTGATTAATTTAATCTCAGTTCAACTTACTTTTGTTTTTTTTTTCTAATTTAAAAAATTGGAAAGAGATAGACGGTAAATTAAACTAAAGTTAAAGTTAATCTATAGTGATAGAAATAGATAACGTTACTACAAACATAATCGTTTATGAATCATTTATTGCTGGTTCATCTTGGTTGAGATTCATTGAAAAATTGTTGTAATGCATATTGATGTTTTTTTCTATATGTATTGAATATTACATTGAATATTATATATATATAGTTATATATACAGTTGTATATGAAAGGAATAGTCATATTTGACGCATAACAAATTTTGTACAAAAGATAAGTAATTTTAACTCTTTCTAAGCTTTAACTTTTTTCTACAAATATTTTATAGAATATATTATATTTTATATTAGATAAATATATTATTATACTTTTGAAACCTAAAAAATATATATATATTATTATATTATGATATATCTAATATAAAAACATTTTTATTCTTTAAATTTCAATGTATTATCGATTATATTTTTGGAATTACTTGGAAATAGAATTTAAATATTTTTTCATATGTATTTGTTTCAAAAAATATATATATTTATCATATATTGATACATTTAATTATTGTAAATAACATTATTTTTATATAGTAAAATATTTTGGAACAAATTCTTTTTTTTGTAGATGGCAAACCTATGTTACGACAAGGTGACACTGGAGATTGGATTGGTACATTTGAAGGACATAAAGGAGCAGTATGGGGTGTAGCATTAAATCCACAGGCTACTCGAGCTGCAACCGGCGCAGCAGATTTTAATGCCAAAGTCTGGGATGCGATTAAAGGAGAAGAAGTTCATTCTTTTCAACACAATCATATAGTTAAATCTGTCAACTTTAGTACCGATTCTAATCACCTATGTACTGGTTCTAATGAAAAACTTGTACGCATTTATGATCTTAATAAACCAGAAACAGCTCCACAGGTAAAATTATGTATAGATGTAAATTAATGATGATCAAACATGATCAATAGTAAATATTTGGGTTAATTTAAAACGTTTCAATTTTTCTCTCTCTTTCAGATCTTCTCAGGTCATACAAGTGGTATTAGGCATGTCACTTTCTTTGACAATAACTCTGCCTTAATTACCTGTGCAGACGATAAGACACTAAGGGTATGGGATAGAAATAGTGGGCAAGAGGTTAAGAGATTAGATTTTCCAGCGATTCCTAGTTCCATGGAAGTATCAAAAGATGGAAACATTATTACCACTACTCACTCTAACATTGTTACCTTTTGGAATAGTAAAGAGTATGTAATATTTTTTTCTCTTGTAAAAAAATCGTTATAAAAATTCTTTGGAAAGCTATCCTAGAATTTTAATTTTTCCTTAATTTCGTTACAATTGCAATTTATAAAAACTTTCTTGTCAAATTATTCAGTATCTCATATAAAAAAATATTACATATTAAAATCATATTAAAAAATTTTTTACTTTTTTAATTTTTTAATAAAGAAGATTAATATTATTTTCAATTTTTTGTCAGATTAACCAAGATAAAAGAATTTATGGTCCCGACTCAAGTTAATAGTGCCAGCCTGCATCCGGATTGTACTATTTTTGTTTGTGGTGGGGAAGACTTTAAAATGTACAAGTTTGACTACAATACAGGGGCAGAACTAGGTAAAAATTTGTTTATCTTTCATGATTCAGAGTAATTTTGATCAAAAGTTAATCCTGTATGTAAAATTTGCAGAATCGTTTAAGGGACACTTTGGACCCGTACATTGCGTACGCTTTTCACCGGATGGTGAATTGTATGCTAGTGGATCCGAAGATGGTACTTTGAGATTATGGCAAACCATAGTCGGTAAAACCTATGGATTATGGCGTTGTATAGAACAGACTCCTGCAATACAAGAAAATACCGCCGTGATTAATAACAAACAAGAAGTTCCTGCCAGTTAAACTTGAACATCAGAAAGAGATAAGAAAATCTTCAGAAGTTTTCCGAAAGCCTAAAAGCAGATATCTCAAATTAAATTGGATGAATAGTCTGCAAATAAAACGCGTCGAATTTGTTATTTGGGCTGCCGGAAATTTTTGTAAATAACTCGTCTTTTTAGAAAGAGATCGCTCACACCTCCCCCCCCCTTCACTGTGGCCTTTATTTCCAAAACTAAAAATGAGAGGACCAAGTTTAGAGCTCGTGGAGGCACGTGGGGTAGGATTGCTATTTATATTATGAAGAAAAAACAACAATAAAAAAAGAAATATTAACATTTATTAACATTATACATGTTATTATAATACAAAAGTAGATAGCGGTGTAAAACGAGAGAAAGAAAGACAAGTTCATAACGAACATTGCATTTGCATTTTTTTCGAACCAATATCGTCCATCATTCAAATATATGACATATCGATACGTGACTCGTATCAGCACACAACACATAATATTGTATGTCCATTTTGACATGCTTCATAATCATTCTCGATTTTAGTTTCCGTGGTAACGTAATATCACCATAATGTGCAACTCAACAATCCATTACAAGTTTTGCTTGTATGCGCATTTTATTCCTAAAAACGATAGATATTCTAATCCTTTTTTTTTTAAGATATGAAATAATCCAATTACGTAAAGATGCAAATTGTCTTTCGAATATTATTCAAAACAGAGTCTTAAAAAAATTTTATAAGATTTCAGTGTCTTGTGAAACTCTTTAACTCTTAAGTGTTTAGAAAATCTGTCTTTTGTGAGTATCGAAATATTATAATACAAATTAACAAAAATATTTACTTAGTTCGTATCTATATATATAAAATAGACGAATGAAACAATAATGTAAAATATGAAAAAATTTATTTTGAAAACATTTAAGAGAAATTTTCTATACATTCAAGACTCCGCAGTTTTTCTATTTTGAATGATATTCAAAATAATTTGCAATTTTTGTTATAATTAAAATAATTCAATGTGTCTTAAAATCATCACTATTTCCTAATTTAAATAGGTTCTCCAGCCTTTTCACATAATAAGATTTAATCAAATATTGAGAATAAATTTGTGATATGTAGGCATTTCTGAATTTTAATTATAAACAAAGTATAAGGATTTTGAAGATTTATATAGATATAAAAGAATGGAATTTAAAGAAATCTTGAAATTAAAATGAAATTTCACCGTATCATTTTCGTGCAAGAGTATGAAATGTTCATCAATTCTCTTTAAATATTACGTCACACTAATGAAAATGTGACAACGCCGTTTCCACTAGAATAATCAATATTTAATTTTAATTTAAATAATTACTATAAACAATTTTTCTGCAACATTTATTTTCCACGTAAATATTTATATTTATTATTATAAAGAAAATATATTTTAATAACACATTACAGTTTTACTGCTTAAATTTGATTCATTATTTATTTTTTAAAAAATAGCAGTAGCATTTTGCATCCTTTATACTTCCGTGTAAAAAAAGTCACATGACTCCCATCCACTTTATTAAACTGGAGAACCTCTTTAAAAAAGTCTTCATTCGCGTGTCTTCTTGCTCTCTTTTATTTTTCGACGATGTGATCTCATTCTTCTTCCATGAATTAAATACTTGCGCCTTATCATCTATATTTACACGCCGACAGGTACTCTTCCTTTTATCTTCTGTTAAGTATTTCTTGCATATATTCGAAACATACTCACTGTTTCTCCTTGTTTGTTTGTTGTATTTGTTTCTCTTTATGATATTGAGCTTGAGTACGATCGGTTATGAAATATTTTGATCGTGTTTGTCATACAGTCTCTCGAAGTAAAGGCAGTGTGTTTCCTGCGTACAATATAATAATCCGTAAACAAAGAGTTATGAATTTTAAGTCTTCCCGTCTCTTTCGATTTAGCCAATGAATTGCGAGAGGTCAGGTAGTTTAAAGCCGTTGAACGAGGCTGGCGTCGGTGAATTTCTCAGATTATTCGTGTGTGGTGGGAAACCAGAAAAACCTGAGCCGCTAGGCGTAGTGAATTGTAGTCTTGCGTTACTCTCTGAGGCTGCCAAAACGAAACCACATTGAGCGGTGCATACATCGTCCCGTAGAATCGCTTCTCGAGAAGCCTCTCGTAGAAGTTGATTGCAATCCGTAACTCTTAACGAAGCGCATTGCGTCTGAAAATAGAAATTTATTTTTAAGATCTACATTTCATTAGCAATTTGTTCATTTCATAACATAGTTTATATAACATTTAGCAGTTTATAGAGATTGAAGAAATATAGACTAAGAAAACAAAATTTATTTGATTTACATTCACAATAAGAAAGTTTGAACTTTTTAGTACGTTACTTTTCATTCAGACAGTATACTTACGCCTTCATTGGTGCAAACACAGCTAGTACAAGGCGTAGGGAAACCAGACTCTCCGACCGCGACGTTTCTTCCACCGATTTGACAGCCATGTCTGGTCTCTCGCCAGCCAGAGAAGTCCATATGGGGCATGGAGCTGCACGGTACGCGTGGATTTAAGAAATTACTGGGTAAATCAAATGCCGCTCTTTGCATGTCCGTCTGGTGATCCATGTTCTCGCACATCACCTTGGACAGAGTAGTTTTGCGAATCTCTGCCAATTGGTGCTCAGTAAAGCGGATGTTCGGATCATCGGTCTCATACCAGAAACGATCGCACTTTCTGGACTGTCTGAACTGAATAGCGATAATACAGGCGAAGGTGGGTCCTACCAAACCACCTTGAAGTGGTCGTTCGCTCATACCGCCCGGAAAGAGATCGATGTCATCTACAGAGGCATATATACGTTTCATTCGAGCTATCACTTCCGGCGCCATTTCTCTGGACAAATCCTCAAATGTGGTAGCTTTCTTCAAATTACAAAGCGCTCTGTAATGATTGTATGACGGTATTCCGTGATCGCGGGCTCGGTGAACATTTAGAGCTATCAAATCCACGCCAGAATGCGGAATACCGCGTTGCTCGAACAGATGATTGGTCACTTCGCCGGTGATGAACTGATCTAATGTCTCCATCGGCGTAGTCACTAGGCCACGTATCATCTCGTCGATCATGTGCTCCTGATAGAGCATATCCGGATTGAAAAATCCGTCACGCAGTAAGATAGGAGGATCGATATTCTGATAATTGCGATCCATGCGCGGCAAATGCGGTCGCAGTAAAGAATGGCCAATTCGGTATGCCGCGGCAGCGAACTCGTTGAGCACACTAGGGTTGCAAGTGGGCGAGTATTCCTTGTAGTAGCCTTGGGGCAACAGCTTAAGACCATACAAACTAACGGCGTTCCAGCCAAGAATTCTCGGCAGAAACTCGTTGTACGTGATATGTTGTAACATCGCACTAATGATGCGTCGTGTCTCCTGGAAGAGCTTCTCGCCGTCCCAGTGAGGATTTACCTATTCAAGAAGTTTTATATCAATGAATAAAATTGATATTATTTTTAATTAGCAAGATGTTTGCAGTTTGCCGGCAGATTGCAGCAGATTCAAACAGTACATTCCCTATAAGATACAATATTCTTAGAATGTTATATAAATACCAAAAAGAATAAATAATCATAATTCATATGACACATTCTAGGAATATGGTGTTATAAGGTTCTGGAATATATGACAATGTAGAAGAATTTTTCCAATCCATATTTTTAAATAAAACAAGGAGATTTACCTGCCGCAAACCTTCCATCACGCGATTGTGTTCGCGTATCCACATGGTGTGCATGACTGCCAGCGCTGGTTGCTCCGAAGCGCGGCCATCACCACCGATGAAGCACAATCCTGATCGTGCCTTGCATTCTGGATGCGTCGCCGATTGCGGCAGTAAATCCCTGCCGCGTCTTGGATTCGTTGTGATGTTCATGCGACCGTTGAAACCGCGCAGGATGTTACAGATGCACGAATTCTCGCCATAGACTACCGACGCATCCAAGAAACCGGTATTCTGATTCACTTGTTCACGTGGACCCAAATGCTGCTGGCCTGGCAACGATCTCATCGACGGGAAGCACATACGCGAGCCTGACGAGACGTTCACAGTAGGATAGAAGTGATCACCCGGTGGCACGGGGAACGGATTGCATTCGGGATGAACGGTGCGTGGTGAGTCGCATGCTCGACAACTGGGAATCGATTCCTGAAAGCCTTTGTGTATGGGAGTCATCGTCAAGTCGTGATCCAAAAATTGAGCGAACTGCATCACCATCAACGTATAACGGTTGTGCAAATTCGATATGTCAGGGTGGATCACGGTGGAGACTACCCGAGGGTTTGGCAAAGGTGCGCCGGTGACGGAAGTCATTCTCGGTTTGGAAACACCGTCCTCATAAACAGGTGGCAACAGACGGGCGAAGGTTGTCAACGACTTGCCAAGGTTGGGATTACGTAGATTGTTGCAGTGGCCCGATAGGGTTCGGTAAGGTGTAGTTGGATCGCATGGGGAATTATCTACGGGACATTCGACTTCTTCATGGTGCGTCGCCTTTTGATTATGATTCAAGAAACCGGAGATATCGACGTTCTGCAGCAGATCGGAGAACTCGTTCGAGTTGGGGAATCCTAGAACGTTCTCCGTGTTCTCGAAAATCTGACGTCTTCTTCGTCGGAGACCGTGTACACCATTTAGAATCTCGTTTGTAGCCAATTCGTACATGATGGACGAATTGGCGAGCAACAGGGCATCCTTGTTAGCTTTCGAAAAGCTAGCTGCAGTGCCGGCGGCCGATTTCGGGTCGGCAATTCTTTGTTCTAGCCAAGCATTATACTCCAACTGCTTTCGCTCAATTAGCTCTTCCTCTGCTCTCTTTACCGCAGCGGCAACCACCTCGGGACTGATCTCCGATAGAAGCTGCGTCGACTCACCATCCGTGCTCGTGTTTATCGAGTTATACTGCATCATAGGAAGCGGCAGCGGTTTCTCGGTCCATGCCGCGACATTCAAAGATTCGTACTGCTCGCAAGTAATCCTGCTGTTCAAATATTGGTCCTGTCGGATGAACACTCTCGGCTGTATCCTGCGAATATTGGTATTGGCGCACAGAATACTGGCGAGGGACACCTTTCTGATCTCGACCAGCTGCATCGCCGTCAGTCCTGAGGGTGGAAGGTCGTTCTCGTACCAGAAGCGATCGGAATTTCTCATTGTCACAAACTGCTTTTTAAGAAGACACTCGAATGTTGGACCAACAGCAACACCCGTTGCCGGAGTCTCCAAGATACCACCCACGAGAAGATCCACGTCCTCTACATTTGTGTAAATCGTACTTAGCAGATGCACGTGCTCAGGTCGCATTACTCTCGTTAGATCCGTGAAATTTTCGATCTATATTGAAACGAATTGAATTGATTATTGTCGCGATCATTTCATGAATTTTTGAATTTCAGGAGTTTTTGAAGACACGTCTATATATTATTATTTTTAGATTATTACTAAATTATGAAATTTTATTTTATTATTTACTGTTTTAAAATTTAACTATCTATGTCACGGATGTAAAACTTTCATAAAAAAAAAAGAATGGCGAACAAAGGTCAGCGTAAAACATGAAAAGCGATACTTACATTATAAAAACTTTATTCGTCATTATATTATTTTAGTTTCATAAATGTTTTTTTCTAATTGTGCAATTAGAAAGTATAAGTCGATCGTTTTTATAACATTTAGTTATTTTAGGGAGATCAAAAATGATTAGTATTATTTATGTGTCTAAAAATATATAATTAATTTATTATGTGTTTATGATTATGTGTTTATGTTTTACGTTCCATTAGATAGTTTCATTTTGCTCTGTAATGATTTAAGTATTATACAATCTCTTTATATTTTTGGATAGTGGATAGAACTAAAAAAATAACGATAGAAAATGATAGTAATACTCCAAAAATAAAAAACCATGCTGCTACCATTCCTTTATAAAGAAAAGGATAATAATAATAGAATTTGTCTACGGTATTAACTTACCTTAACATACTCTTCTAAACAGTTAGTCAGATATTTGACGTATCCGGGCACTCCGTGATCTCGTGCAACGTGCATGGACCAGGCGGCCGCGTCTGGTGCGGCTGCGACGCCGATGCCGTTGGCAGAAGTAACAATATGGCTCTCTAGACCTCCTATTTTATCCGCACGCGTCCAAACAAGAGCGCGCAAAGCTGCTAGTGCTACTGCATTGTATGTACCCGCCTTGTTTGACGAGGAATAACCAGCGTAAAAGCCGTTTGCAAGTGGTCTGAGTTCATGATCGACTTGTACGGCTTCCCGTAATATCGCCGGTATGTATTCATTGAGGGTGACATGCTGAAGCTGCGCGACGACGATACGGCGTGCCTCCAAGAAGAGCTTCGCGTCGTCCCAGTGCACATTCGTCTCCGCTAATTTCTCCGCCACGCGATTATGCTCGCGCAGGAAGACCCGATGCAACAGGCCAAGCGCATTGCGATCGGTTTGCTCGCACAATTCGCAAGCGGTCAAGTTGACCTTACCGTCTTCGTAAGTCTTGATCAGATGCAGCTTGTCGTCGGTAGCGCCATAGATACCGGTACCATCTAAATACGACGAGACACCGTTCATCTGCTCTCTCGTCTCGAACTGGCAGCCGTGTACCGTTAAACTTGGCACCGATCGCCAGTAACGTCTGCAGCCGAATTTTTCATCGCGCATCTCGTAGCACTCCGGATGCTGCTGCATATTGGAGCAGCATTTATTCTCTGGACCCGTGGGGCGTACTATAGCAGCGATATCCTGCAGCACTAGCTCCGACCAAACACCAGACAGACTAGTCAAACCCTCGTGACTTGCTACTCTCGGAAAGGATGACAGAACGTGGGAGATGACATCGCTTGACGCGGGTAGACTGTGAGTACCCACCGACTGACGCGGTCTCGAGATGCCTATGAGGATATATAAAAATAAGAGTTCGTTATTAGAGCTTGGAAACTTTGCTTCTTTTAATTTTATCTTTACCTTTTCTCCCATGTCTTTATTTTATTTTTTTTCTTTTATTCTTCGATAGAATTATATTAATAATATATTATATTTTTATTTATATTCTTAAATAAAACAGTGCCATTAAAAGTTATGAAAGTTAAAACAACATTAATTTTTCAACATCAGGGTACTCTGTTTGGTTATAATAATAACCTTATAAATTTTTACGTTATATTACTTTTATAAAGAATAATCTTCTTTGAATAAATTTATACTTATAAATATATACTATATAAAAATTCGTTTAAATAATATATTAATGAGAGAAAAAATATATATGTGTGTGATTAAAAAATATGTTAATGAAGAAAGTTATATGAAATAATAGGAAATTATTATTATGGTATTTACATCGTGTTAAATGCAACGATTAATTGTATTTATAAAATCTCATGGGAAATGTACAACGTTATTTGTTGTTTCCAGATACGCGACTTTCGATCGTATGTTTTTATGCCGTGGGTAAGAATAGTTTCTTCTTTAAATGAACTTACTATTCAGGCAATTATAACTCTCTAATAGAAAGGATGAATGGCATTAATGAGATTAATATAAATATATATACATCCCAAGTAACACTTAATGTCACAGAGACGTCAAATTAACATAAAATTGAGTTAAACTTTCATCAAGTCTCAATTAAGATGACGTCACCTTGTCCTTATCATGACAATCAAGTATTATTTGAGATCATCTTCGCAACTATTAACTCTAAAGAAAAGGAATAAAATGTTAGACTAAGAATGAATTTGATGTGTAAAATTTTAAAGAATTTTTAGACCCTTCAAAAGCACGATGAAAATAGAACAAATTTGTTATTGATGATACAATTGAAAATTAAAAATCTGAGCTTACTAAAAAAATGTTAAAATAATATTTTTTTATATTATATGATATATCTCACTTTTGAAAAAAAAAACAGTTTCAATATTTTTTTATTTAATTAGAAATTATTCTTTTGCCAATTTTTTCGATGTAACTTTTTATAATGTTTCATACATTTACGATAATAAATGTCAAGATTACGAATGGCAAGCGTAAAGTCGAACTAAATAGAAAGTGAAATTTTTTTGAAAAAAAAAAGTAGTATTTATATAATGGAAATTAAAAAGTATAGCATTATGCATGGAATGTGAAAATGATACAATATGTGGAATAACGTATCAGCATGCGAATATCTAGCACAAGATATCAGTTAATACGTTTAAATACAGCAATAGGCGGAAGAATACTGATTAATGAAATAATATAACAATTATAAAATTACCGTCAATAATAATGCATTAATAATTATAGAGTAGGATATAAAGACACGAAGGATATAGAGAGAAGTTTAACATGTAATACACAAGATGTGTATTAATAAAATTGTATATGAACAAATTTGATAGCATTTTAAACGCGGATGCACACGATGACTCACGCCGATGCTACCGGCGAAGGAGTCGCCAGAAGGCGGCTCTTCGTTGGGTCTCGAAAAGTGTAATGTGTGTCAAAATTCTGTGTCATGGTTACGCACAGGCGTCGCTCTTTAATGATCACGCAAGTAAGTGTTACACAGTGCCATAGTTTCTTCCTACACAATGAACGCAACCCTTTCATTCGTATAGTGATGAGTGTGACGTGCACGACTCATCAATGACGACGACAATGAGTTTATATATGATGAAAATGACTGACATTTTTCACTTTTTTGCACAGCTCTCTCCGATGAGATTTTTCTAATAGCGAAATAATTTTTTAAATATTCTTTTAACAAATTGTGGTCTTGTTTTTAACAGTCTGCGGTTTAACGAGGCAAGCTTGGAACAATTGTTTTTAAGTATCATTGGTTTTTTTTTATTTTTCATCGGCAAAATATATATTTATTGCAAAATGTGTGTGTGTGTGTGTGTGTGTGTGTGTGTGTGTGTGTGTGTGTGTGT